ATATCATCTCATATATAACAAAAATTATCTATAGTAATTCATGCAATTACACATTCAAGTGTAACCCAAACTAAAGCTTAATAGCATAAAGATACAACAACAACAACTTTACTAATCAACATCACGTGGGGGTAAACCACCACAAAATACATTCTTGACAAAATATCAAAACTATTACTTCATTATATTGTTGTCTCAAATTTGCAGTTGGCTAGATAGACTTTACTCTTTATATGAGTATGTATATCAAACAAGTTAAATAATCTAATTTTCAATTATATGAAATAATTTGAATAACAATATACTTACCTGAACTACTGTGTGAATCAAGTGGAACTACATCTTATGCTTTATCCAGAAGTGTTATGAGTATTATATAAAACCTAATAAATTACATGAAAAGCGTTTTAACCGATAAAAAATAAAAGAAGCAGTAAACGTAAAATAATGGGATAAGCTCATATAATTGTATGATAGATTCGTGAACTTCACGTTAATGTTTTCCCAATTTATTGATTTATTTATTAAAGGTAAATTTATTATTTGGTATATATTATAAAAAGGTAGTGTTTAGATATGGGTAAAAATGTATCATTAAGAAGGTGACTTTGATCTATGTATTCATGAATAGGGGAAAATGAACCAACATTACTTTTTAAATAATTATTGAAAACTGAAAAAATATATACAATTGTTCTAAACTTTGTGTGGACATTTGTCACGCCCCGAGCCTACACCCTGGACGTGACTGGCACTCGAAGACCATTGCTGGCCCCAAAGCGAACCCTTGGCCTGGCTTTCTTAACTCAACGGAAAACTCAATGCAATGCAAGGTTTTAAAAAAACCTGACTGAAATAAAATCTGGCCACAAAGGCAACTCGAGTCTCAAAATAGAATATTTACATATATACATAGATGAGAGACTCCAAACCAACTGACTGATTGTCTATGAAGCCTCTATACTACTGAGATGGATGTTGGGACAGACCCCGCAACATCCTAATAAAACAAAACTAAAAGAACAACATAATCGAGTCCTTCGGAACATAAAGAGGCTCACCACTGACTCGGAAGTACTCAACTGGATCAACGGCGAACCGGCTGCTGGCCCTGGGTACCTGTGTCTACATCATAATAAGATGCAGGCCAATTGGCATCAGTACATTGAATGTATGAGTATGCGAGCTGGAAAGCTAAACCACAACTTAAACTTGGAAGGAGTACAAAGGAACTCTTACCTTGGCTTTGTTAAACTCATGAATGACTGAACTCAATATATAAAGCAATACGACACATGCAATATATAAAGCTTGCAAAATAGTGTAAACAACTTAGCTTGTTAAAGATAAAACAATAACAACTCAACTTTACTTATATAAAAGTAATATAACTTTAGTGGGAGACTCCTTCAACCGACAATCACCACTATGAGCCCTAGTGGTGATACAACGTTTTACCTCACGTTGCCCAAAGATCATCCTATACCTTGCCGTGATATAGGAAGCTAACTTTACTAAGTGGATCCACTAGCTTAATCTTACGGGTTCATCTAAAAAGTATGACCCGAGAAAATCCCATGTTGGCATCATGGTTCTTATGGAGAGTTTAGTTAATATGAACTCGTGTCCCCAACTCGGTGCTCAAGACTACTCCCAAAAATATACTTTAGCTCATAAGTGTTTTAAACACATCTTTCTTTAGTTTGGGATAATTGCTCAAAATCTAGCCCAAAGGCTCTCTTGGAAATCGATGTTCCTTTCTTACTCAAATGTAAAAACATTTAGAAACCTCTTTGGGAAATACATAGTTCCCTAATAACTTTCGAGAAATGGACTCGACTTTATGCTCTTGACTTAACTTGAAACTTGAGACTCTTCACTTGGCTTGAACTCTATACTCTTTACTCGACTTGAACTTGAACCTTAAACGAAGGTAAAACGTCTAATAATGACTCTTGAAAAGCTTTAGAGACTTGCTTTGACTCCCTTCTCGAACTTCTAGACTCAACTCTCAACTTCTCTTGACTTGGAAACTTACTCTCCTTGAATTGGAATCATAGATTCAAGGTGTTTGATAACGTGTTATGGACGAGTTCTTGACGTTTAAACATACCTTGGAGTGTTGGAAACAACTTGGGAACATAGGTACAACACCTAGGACATGCATAAGAAAGTGGGGAAAGAATGGGAAGACTTGGCGCTCTGAGAGGCGTGGAGCGCCAAACCAAAAACTTCAGAGATGGCCTGCTGGCGCTCTGATGGGCGCGCCGCCCCAAGGGGGAAAGTTCAGATCCCCTCTTGGGGCGCGCTGACAGGCGCGACGCCCCACCCTTTTTCCCCGAAATTCGACTTTCCTCCTTAGTTTTCTCCAACTCTAAACCTTCTACACCTCAAAGTTTCCATCCCCAAACACATAAAACCATAAACCTCTCAACATAAACATATATTCAACTCATAAACACCACTGGAAACACACACCAAATCACCAAGAACTACAACACAACACAACTACAACTTCAACAATTCCAACCAACAACTTCAATCAAACATAATCAATCTTTTCTCGAAATTAAACGAGCTTGGCGTGTGGGGGAAAGAACCAACCCAACACTTATGAACTCACATACCTAAAAGGGATCACCCCCGACGATATCCACGACGATCTTTTGACGAAAACTTGCTTCTTCTTCTCCTTTCTCTCCGTTCTCTCAATAACCCTAAACCTTACTCTTTTTAAAAAGGGAAAAACTGATCACAATGAAGTCTTACACCTTAATATATATCCAAAGACAAGGCTAGGGAAAAGACCAAAATACCCTTACAAATTTCCGGACAGATTTCCTGCCAACTGCCCAACTTTCAAAGGGCATAACTCGCTCATACGAACTCGGAAACGAGCAAACTTTATGGCGTTGGAAAGACCAATCCACGAACTTTGCAACCATAACCGGAACCATACCTAGATCCTCCTGAATTAGGAGTTATAACTGTTCAAAGTTGGCCAAAAACTCATTATTTTCCATAGCCAAATTTTCCAGATTTGAATTTATTTTTTTTACATTTTTCCAAAAAATGACTATTTCCAATTTCAAGCTTTTTCAAAGTTATTTTCAAATTGTCGGATGTTACAACATTCAATTTGATAGGATTTATTTAGTTTTTCATTACTTTAATCTAATAGTATAGCTAGATAGATACATATTAAAACCTTGAATATACTTTTTTCCTTCAAGGTTTGTAGCTCCAAACATGCAATCACATTTATTCATAAATTTAAGTTATTATTGTATTTCTAAAGAATAACATAAAATATGGTACATTAAAGGTAATTCATAGATTGCAATAGAATTTTCTTTCGAAGTTATCGAATAATATCAGAATAAAATGATAAGATGTAAATATATATATAGTGTGCATCTTTTGTTCACCTAGTCACCACAAAATTTGTAACAATCATAAAGAAAAAATAACATTAGAGTTTTCTGGCTTTTCGACTCTAAAAATAATCATTATGACGGGTATAGTAGTATTCCATGCAATATATATTGGGGACTGACAGTGAAAAGGATAAAACAAACAACATCAAAAAATTAAATCTAAAAATCAAACAAAATTGACCAAATATAAAAGAATAAATATATAATAGAATCTACAAATAGAACATAATATTAATATATGTGTGCATCTGTAGATTTTCTTTCATTCAACATCTCTTCAACCTTGAAAAATGACAATAGTTAATGACTACAAAACAAATATCAAATTATACAAGAAGCAAAAGAGAAGTAATATCGAAATTAAACAATCAAGAAATACAATAATGATATGTGACTAATTTTTTAAAAAATCTCTTACCGTCAAGTTATTGAGGTGTATATATATATATAGCAACAATTAGAAACATGGGGTTCTTCATTATTCCTCACACCTTGATAATGAAGCTGATGACAATTCGTTCATATCATGAGCATCGCCATGGTTCATTATCTTAATGAAACAGGCAAAAAAAAAAAAAAAAATTAAGACTACTTCATGACAAAGTTTATAGGAAAGTACCTTCTCATGAAGCACACAAGTGTATTTATAAGTTAGGCAATATTTCTTACTGTTATATAGAAATTCAAAAGTCATGCTGAAAAAAAAGTCATACAAATAACTCTTGGATTCTTCACCATACATGCACTTGCATTTAATTTGTAATTACTTCTTTTGGCTAATTCGTTATACAATATAATTAATAATTATTTAAATTTCATGCTAATATATAACTCATAATCTAAAAAATAATTAAAATATTATTACTTAATATTTAATTAATTAGATTTTAAAGACATTTTAATTAACAACAAGGGCAAAACTGTAATCCAACTTTGAAGACAAAGTCTTCCCACTTATAATAATATATGATGATTAACCTTGAAGTATTTTTTGCACAAAGTTAAAAAAACAATGATCTTATAGCAAAAGTCTCCGGTACAGAAATGGTACTATCAATGAAATATACATCATTTATTGTTTAAGAAAACCTTTTCAATATGAAATTTCCATATGTTCATTGATGGATTATTTTAAACCATGAATTCAAGATTATCTTAATAAAAACTTATGAGTAATTTCGTACTAATGAAAAAAGACAGATTTTTTTAATTCCAGTTCAAGTTTTAGTAGTAAAAATGATGAACGTTGCCTAAAATTGTTTGAATATGTACTAAAGTTTCCCTGCCTTAATTATTTGCAGCATGAAGAAAATGCTTCATAAGAAACCAAGATACCATAACATTTAGTAAACCACAAGGTTAATTCCAATAGTAAAACTAGTAATTAGAAGCAAACAAACATAGATAAGTTAAAGATTACATGAGTAGTTTATTCAAAAACTCAACATTTCTGGTATCTTTAGACAGGAAACTACTAGCAGTGAACTCATGGAAAACTCACTCCTGGAAGTTAATCGCAGCATTGGTGGACGATCTTGGACAACCTAACAATTTGTCGGCCAATCAAGATAAATATTGGGATAGACAGTTCATTGAACATGTCTCACATCTTCTTCTCTTTGATATGATAAAGAAATTCTCCAAAAACGGTGCATTCAGCAATAGAAATTCTGAAGGTTTGGAAACCTTTTCAAAGCCCCTTTTGACATGATCTTTCAAGCACGCTTCCGAGGAGATGACAATCTTAACCTTCTTGAGGTTGTGAAACTCAACACTTGGAACCCCACTCAGCAAATCCATATTATCTCCATTGGCCAAATCAAGTAACTCAGAGTTGCAGAGGGAATTGTCAAGAAAGTGGCAAAGGAAATCATCTAACTGGAGACAAAAAATAAAATCAGGACCAAATGCAGGTCTGATTAAATGAAATTGCACGAATGTGACTGAAACTTCAACCAAATGAAAAGATGTAAAAAGAAGAGATAATTTCCAGGAAGTTACCACCGTAGTTTCCAATTCTAGGCTGATTGTTTCCACATGTGGCGAGGCTCTCAAAAGACCATCTACTCCGTACAAATTAATTTTTTTCATATGCAACACCAGCGTTAGATATTTGCAATTCAATTCTGAAACGGGCAGCCCTTTGAATTGCAACATCCACATGACCTGGTGCAGTGATCCCAATGAAACTAGTAAATAATGGAGAAAACAATAACAACAAAAGGGAAGTACTTCACAAATCTAATTGTCTAAACACAGCTCTAAGAAACATCAATGTAAGGACTTTCGAGTTAAAGACAAACCTGTGTGAACCAAGTTCCAAATGTTAGATCAGTTGCATAACATAACTCTTAAAGATTATCTTGGACGAGGGTATATACTACTTGATGATAGTCATGGCAGCAGTACTCTTCCACATAAATACTTGGGAAGTCTCTGATACAGGTAATGCTGAAAATAAGCTTAGCATTAACTACAGAAGACACATCAACCAGCCTACACTTGAGATCTATTCCTGATATTTCCAAGTGTTGAATATACGGGGCAAGAATTTCTATGTCTATCTCGATTTCCAGCAAACGTAAGATAATTTTTCAACTTTAGTGTCTTTAATTTTAGAGAATTAATTTCCAGGCGACGGAAACCAAAATAGCTATATAATTCCATTGTTTCCAATGCAGGACAGCGTGACAGAAATTTCACCATATCATCATCAGTTAGCTTCAAATGCCCCAACTTTATACTCTTTAATGAGTTCCACGCTATGACTGCTTTATTAAGGTCACAATTTTGAACATCTAAAGTTATCAAAGACGAACATGTGCAGAGAGATTCAGGCAATGTGAACCTATTACTATACTGAGACCACAACACAACATTTTCCACTTGTCTTTCAACAGCAAAACTAAAACAACGACCAATTAGGGTTTCATACTCAGGCCTGAAACTGCAGTCTGATAGACGCAAGTAAGTTAAGTCGAGTTGGAACTTTATAATTTTGGAAGAGAGTGAATGTGCTAATGCATTATGAATAAAGGATAAATCTTCTCTTTCCCGGCAAGTGAAATTGAAGCTATGAATAAAAGTGAGGAGACGCCGCCACGTTGTAGAGACTAGACAAGTTCTGAATGCATCCTTTGTTGGGAGAAGTGAGAGAATTTGAACGAGGAGTGGATCCGGCAACTTATTCATTGGTGCTTCTTCCTCGGTTATCTTTTGTTTCTTCAGATTTGTCAGTTCCATGATCCGGCAACTTATTGATTGCTTTCTTTGTTTTTATCTCAGGCAATAAAATGCTTTGACAAATCTTCTATATATGTATATATACACGCTATCTTAAAAGTCACGATCTTCAAAATTTGAATTAAAAGTTAAATTACTTAAATGCCCATCTTATAAAAACAAGGGCCACTTCAGCAAATTCGTAATGTTTAGAAGAAGAGTTGCCACTGTGTCTTGAAAATCAGAGTTGTATTTCTCCGTTATTGTAATTTTCTCAACATTTAGTTTATTTCTCGACATTGAAAGTATGAGTGGTGTAACATCCGACAATTTGAAATAGCTATGAAGAGGCTTAGAATTGGAATTAACTATTTTTGGAAGGAATTCAAATCTGGAAATTTGGTCAAGTGTGGGAAATCAGTGAGTTTTGGCCAACTTTGATCAGTCATATCTATTAGATCCGAATGATTTAGGAGTAGTTCCAGTTATGTTTGCAGAGCTCGTGGAATGGTCTTTCCAACGCCGCCGAGTTTGCTTGATTCCGAGTTCGTATGAGTGAGTTATTCCCTTTGGAAGTTGGGCAGTTGGCAGGGAATCCGTCCGGAAATTTGTAAGGGTATTTTGGTCTTTTCCCTAGCCTTTTATTTTGGTTATATAAATGTGTTAGGCTGATTTTTTTTTTATCAGTTTTACCATTTTAAAAGAGTGAGAGTGAGGGTTTTGAGTGAAGAAGAGAAGAAGAAGAGAAGAAGAGGAGAAAGAGAAGATCAAGCAAGAAGATCGTCGTGGTATCGTCGGGGGTGATCCCTATTAAGGTATGTGAGCTTTTAGTGTTGGGTGATCCTTTCCCCCACACGCCAAACTCGTTTTATTTTCGAGAAAAGATTGATTGTGTTTGTTGAAGTTGTTGGTTGTATTTGTTGAAGTTTGTGGTTGTGTTGGTTGAAGTTTGTGGTTGTGTTGTTGAAGTTTCTTGTTGCTTTGGTGTATGTTTCCGGTGGTGTTTTTGAGTTGAATCTATGGTATATTGAGGGTTTTAATGATTCTAAGTGATTTGGGGAAGAAACCATTCGATTTTAGGCAAAATAGGGTGAGAAAACGAGAAAATGAACTTGCTGAAATTTCTGGGTTGGGGGCCTGGCGCGATGCGCCTGCCAGAGCGCCCCAAACTCACCTCTGAAGTTTTAGGGCTGGCGCTCCGCGCCTTGCAGAGCGCCAAGGATGCCAAGACTTCTCTTTTATCCCCCACTTCCTCATGCATGTTCCTAGGTATTATATCTATGTTTCATAGTTGTTTTCGACACTCCAAAGTACGTCTAACCATCAAGAATCCCTCCATAACATGTGATCAAACACCTTGAATTCATAATTCCAATTCAAGGAAAGTTAGTTTCCAAGTCAAGTGAAATTAGTTTCCAAGTCAAGTGAAATTAGTTTGCAAGTCAAGTGAAGTTAGTTTCCAATTCAAGTTAAATTAGTTTCCAAGTCAAGTGAAGTTAGTTTCCAATTCAAGTGAAATTAGTTTCCAAGTCAAGTGAAGTTAGTTACCAATTCAAGTGAAATTAGTTTCCAATTCAAGTGAAGTTAGTTTCCAAGTCAAGTGAAGTTAGTTTCCAAGCCAAGTGAAGTTAGTTTCCAAGTCAAATGAAATTAGAAGTTAAGTAAGTCCAAGCAAGTCTTCAAAGTTTTCAAGAGTCTTCATTGAACGTTTTAACTTCATTCTAAGGCTCAAGTTCCAAGTTAAGTATACAGTTTCAAGTCGAGTAAAGAGTATTGAGTTTCAAGTTAAGTCAAGAGTCAAGAGTTGAGTTCATTTCTCAAAAAGTAATTAGGGAACTAATTATTTCCCAAAGAAGTTTATAAATGTTTTCACATTTAAGATGAGAGGAAACTGAGATTTCCAAAAGAGTTTTGAGAAGTTTGAGTACTATCTCTTTTTGAGAAAAGATGAGTTTTGCAAAAGAGTTTCTAAAACATGATTAGTATGACAAATCGAGTATGTCATCAATGTTTAAACAGTATGGTCTCTAGATATACCATCAATGTTTAAGCAGTATGAATATCCCGAGTCATCAATGATCATATTAAAAATATGGTTTTGATTTGTTCTTTTTAGAAAGAGTTTTCAAAAGCCTTTGGGCTAAGTTTTGAGTAATTATCTCAACTAAAGAAAGATGTGTTTCAAACACTTATGAGCTAAAGTATTTTTGGGAGTAGTCTTGAGCACCAAATTGGGGGAGCGTTCAAAGAACTCACAGCCCCATAGAACCATGTAGCCAAATATGGGATTTCTCGGGTCATACTTTTTAGATGATCATTGTAATGACCCTCATGGTCATTTCTGTGTCTTGCCTTCTGTGTGTCGTTTAGAGCGTTCCTATAGCGACCCCAAGTCATTTATGACTTGCTGGGACTGACAGTTCGGTCACCTGGTCATTCGTTTGGTCTTGGTGCGAGTTTTTGTGTTTTGGAGCTTATGAACCTTGAACGATCATTTTCGATCAAAAGTTCAAGAAGATGACATCGGAATCCAATTCTGACGATTCCATCAGCTCTGGAAGGGTCATTTTAAGCTAGTAGCATGGTTGACATGACTCCCGAGGTTTTCAGTGTGAGTTGGTGCGATTAGACGTTTTAACTTTAAGTTTAAGCCTAAGTTTGACTTTGGTCAATATTCTGAGTAAACGCGCTCGGATGAGAATTTCGTCAGTGTGGTTAGCTCCGAAATGTCGAGTTTGGTCTAGATTGACCCTTCTTTTGTGTCTGGAGGTTTTCGATATCTTTCCGAGCCCTTTTGTGGGTTTTCACTTAAAATGGCTTTTGGAAGTGGGACCCACTTTTTATCGAAATAACCTCTGATGGAAATTTCGACTGCGCCGTTGAGTCTAGAATGTCGAATTTGGTATGGTTGCATATCTCGTTTGTGTGCACGGGGTTCCGAACGAGTTTGGAGCACCCCGTCGGAGTTTTAAGTTTTGGAATTATTGCAGATTTTCGGCAATAAATGCAGAAAAACAGCAACACATTTCCTAAACTCTAAACCCTCATAACTCTCTCATCTCTCAACCGATTTGGGCGATTCAAAAGGCAAAGTTGTGAGATTTTTCGAGGACAACGTGTTGGTGAGCTCGGATAGTGATTTGGAGTCCCCGTTTGAGGTAATTTTCGTAAAATACCTGCTGCCACACCCTTTTTGTGAGCTTGATTTTGCAAGATTTTGAGACATGTTTTCTCAGCCTTTTTAGGTCCGATTTCAGTGATTTTTGAGGCTATCTTGAGTGGTTTTTCGATGAGAACATTGTGGTGTTGTCATATTTTACTGTAGACCGCCCGTTTTTGGTAAATACACTGCTGTCCCATTTCTAATTTTTTAGAAAAATTGAGTTTTAGTTGCATGTTGATATTGTGTTGTTCCCGAGCCCCGAATTGTGTCCCATTTTGGGACATGAGCTGGGGGAACTGGTTAGGACCCACTTTTTGGGTTAATTTCAGAATTTCCTGTGCGGGTCCCACAATTCTCATTTTGACTCCAAAATAGACCCGTCTCCGTTTGTTGTGATTTTGGTGTCTAAACGACCGTAATAACGTTGTGATTCTATTTTTGATAGCGGGGCAGCGTTTCGAGACCGTTCGGAAAGGGAAAGCTCTGAAGGAGTGATTTTGGAGCGCATGTGATCGGCCTACAGGTAGGCTACGGTTTCCCTCTCTTAGATTGAGCTTGAGAGTGTGAATGCATGTTGATTAGTTGGGATTTGGGTTGGTAGTGATTGAATCATGCATAGGTGTTTGGAAATCATGTTTTCGGCCTATTTCGAGAATTATCGGGTAAATGTGAGCATGCTTTGTGTTATTAACGGACCCTCCTCGCTATGTGGAGTGTTTGCATGCTTAATTATTGTTTATTTAAAGCATGTTGGGCCTTAGTTTAGATTTGACTAGGGCTTGCCTTAGAAATACATTATTCGAATCCAATAGGTCTTAGTTTTGCCCTGACGTCGCTCGGTCGGCTTAGATCCCTATAGACTGGTGTAGCAGACTTGAGTCTGATAGTTTGGGCCTTATTTAGGCGATAATCTTTCTCCGACTATAGTTATCCTTATTTTCCCCGATGTTACGGCTTCACGAGTTACATCGGCAACACTAGTTCTACTTCGCGATTTGAATTTGATTTTCGATTTGGTTCCAAGGACTTACATTGATTGGCTAAGTATGGACGGCGTTCCATGGACATTTATGAGTGTGGATCGATTAGGACTCTTTCAGCAGCTACATTGGCACCTTTATAGAGCATCCGGTTTAAGTTTCAGCCTCTATTGCCCAGATACTTATATAGAACATCCGGTTAGAGTTCCGGCCTCTATTGCCCAGATACTTATATAGAGCAACCGGTTAAAGTTCCGGCCTCATATACTTGATACTTGTGATTGGTTACTTGGGTACTTCTGTTGAGCATCCGGTTCGAGGTTCGGCCTCCGTACTGTCAGATTTTACTAATTAGGGTTGAGATTCTGGTTTGATGTTCTCCGTTCTTGGGTTCTTATATGCAATTCTCTTTAGTTTTAGTTATTATGTGTACTCGTCGGGCTTATGGGGGTCCGTTCGGGTTTTTATTTAACTTGCGCACGAGTGTACCTTCTGGGCTTATGGAGGCCCAGTTAGGTGTAGTTAGCTTATAGATTACTTTAGTTAGTTCTTTGTACACTCATGTGCATTCCCTTGTTAGTTAGATTTTAGTTCTTGACTTCGGTTTGTGTTATTCCTTCTTTTCATATTGCCTTTACTTTTCAAGTTCAGTCGGCCTATGATGCCTACTGGGTACCTGTTGTTTTGGTACTCATGCTACGCTCTGCATCTATTTCGTGATGCAGGTCCGGGCACTAGTAGCCAACGTTGATCGAGCTTGGAGGAGACTGATCCGAAGACGGGGGTGAGCTCACGGCGTTTTGTACTATTTCAGTCTCCATCTGTATATATAGACTTGTCTTTTTCCTTTCGAGACAGTCCAGTCTATGTTGTCCACT